AAACGAGAAGCAGGCATGAACAGAGTTCTCTGCCGCAGACATCCACCCCACACACATGGGGGTCCGGCAATAGGCACACCTGGATGGGGAAGGGGCTCACCTCTGCCCTCCCTCTCAAGCGAGTTTACGTGTGAGCGTGCGTGTGCATGTGCACTGCTGTTGGTGGGACTGTATCTTAGCCGCTCACATGAGTAGTGCTTAAAGCAAAAGCTTACACAAGAAACACTGTTTGAATTGAATCTGAAAATTAGATGAAAAATGATGACACAAGAGGGTTGCAGGAATGCTGAAGAGTTCGTGTGTTTTTGGTAGGGGAAATGATGAGCTGATACCATGTTAACACCAGCAGGGAGCTAAGACAAGGAAAGCTGCCCTTCATCCAATCAGATAATAGGGCGGTATGCAATATTGTAAATAATACAAATATTTTGACATATACAATGGAACACCAAACAGCCATTGGAAAGATAGCAAAATACAGGGCAGACACTGGGATTCTGGGAGGGAAGGAACAGTTCAGGCCAGATGTGGAAATTCCCGATATGGGGAGCCAGTTCTTTGGCTCTGCTCCCTCTCCCTGGGTCCTGGCCCCTGCTCAGTGGTCAGTACTGGGGAAAGGCAGCCTATTCCGAGTGCTGACATGAGAAAGCCACCCCCTTTCTCTACGTGAATCACTCACTATAAAATTAAAATGCCTGAGAAGTAAAGGCACCGTAACCTGGTTTGGAAAAGAGTGTCTATTAGGCATAACCCTTCAGGGAGAGTTCTGACCATTTTGCTCAGTATTTTAAAATCAGTATTTTTCAATTAGTGTATAATCCATTTTGTAAAAGGTAATAAATATATTTTCTAAATAACTGTATTTTCTAAGACACGACAAGCAAACTTTTCACTTCTAGACTTCTAAAACAAACTAAAAGATACCAATCTGCTTTTTTATTATTTTGTTCCCTTACTTTCTGGAGAAACTTACCTTATTAGGTCTTAGTGAATCCAATGTTGTTAGTGTAAGTAATTTTGAGATAAGGGGCACATGAAAGATACAATGAATAAATGATGACAAGTTCTCATAACTTTATTTTAGACTGAAATGGAAATAAATGGATTCAAACATTATTGTCACTGAGAACAAGTTGAAGGGGAGAGACATCTGTTCACTGGAGGAATATTTATTTCTGCTACAAACCAAACAAGACTAATCTAAATAAGAATCTAAACTTAAAAATTAAGTTTATTTTGACAAATGTATTAGTCAACAGCAGTCCGCCTGCAGTTGGATTGTCATGCACCTGAAAGATCCATCTTGCTAACAGCCAATAAGAAAAGTCATTCTGATCGTTTCTGCAATTATAATGGTCTTACTGGTCAAAAAGCTGTAGTGCAACCTTTCCCAACCTAGAGGGCAACCTTTCTTAGTCTAGACTACAACTTCCAGCTAATGCATCTGGATGGTACCCAGTTGGGAAAGGCTTTTGTAAGGGCAGGTCAAAGAACTGTTGTTCTAGTAGCTGCTTTAATTAGCAGTTTCCGCACTAACCATTTCTCATTTTTTTTCATTTACTACTCTCCTGTGGATCCATAAAAATAAAGGGGTGATACCAGACAGCACAGATTCCAAGGAAGGTAGCAAAATGCATAACAGAAAAGAAGAAAGAGATAATGAAAGGGACTAAGAAATGAATAATATAATCATAGAACAGTAGAGTTGGAAGGGGCCAAGAAGGCCATTGGGTCCATAGGACTCCAAGTTAAACCACCCCTCTCAGATAGCTGTCCATAATACCACATAAGAAACTTTGCCCCCATAGAATGGTGTTCTTCAAATTGCTTAACTACAGTGTCCATCAGTCCTTACCACTGTCCATGTAGGCTGGGGCTGATGGAAGTTGGAGTGCAACAACTTCTGGAGAATCACAGGTTACTTGACCCATCTTTGCCCTCCACACACAAATACCCATATTCAGGAAACAAAAGAATTATGCAGTCATGTGATGAACTAGGAGGATGATGTCACATTTAAATATTATTTTATGCCTTGAAACTTTTTCTGGCAACTCTTCAAAGACCTGGAATTCAAATATGGTGCTTAGAAATGGGCCACCTTTTGTAACTGCACAGAGTCCACAAAGTAAACTTTCATTCATTCTTAATTGACAGATTTTGACTTGAGGGTTCTGTCACTGCGAAGGAATGACAGCTTGAGAAGGGAATGGCTTCACAGAAGCAATACTGCATGACCTGTTTTGCAAGTTTCAAGTAGTTTCAGAATTGCATAATGTTAATCTCAACTTGACCCACAATCCAGTCTTGCCAAAGCAGTAAAAGTGAAAGCTGATTTCCAGGGCATGGCTACTCAGATGTAAGTCCTGCTGTGTTCAGTGAGGCTTATTTTCATGAAAGTACATAGGGTTATCAATGAAGTCTGACATTAGTGAGTTGAATCTATCCTTTTTCTTCTTCTTCTTTAAGCAGGAATTCTGGGTCAGACATGGTGTCCTCCCAGAGCAGCCTTCCTGTTGTATAAGGTCTGTGGGGGAAGTGTGTGTGTGTAGGGGGTGTGTGTTTGGTTTTGGTTTTTGCATTCTTGACAGTATTTGGGCTCCTCCTCTATGGCCACATCTCATTAATGAATTTGCTGTTGATATGCCCGATCAGTATCCAATAATGTGGCCCCGTCCAGTTCCCAGACTTTGACTTGCACCTCCAGTCATTGAGCATGCTGGCTGAAGCACATGAGATCTGCTCATGTGGAGAAAGCCAGCTTGGAGAAAGCTGCTGTCCTAGACGATGAAAGACCCTTCCAGATGACTCTTGTATGGCACCGTCACAGCCCCTCAGGCAGTCCAAAGGATGTTTGGAGTCCAAAGGATGTTTTCCTCATCTTCCATCTTATGTCTAACTGTGGAAGATCTGTTAAGTAAAAGAAGCTGGATGTGCTGCACAGTGCCATTGGGCGGTTTCCACTGGGAGCCCACGGTACAGAAGCACCCTGACTCTCCCTGACTTCTATTGCCTAGGACTTTTAAAGGGATCCGCACTGAAGCTCCTGAGAGTACCAAATACCAATTGAGAATATAAATGTGTGAGTCCCAGTAATAATATTAATAGCAATAATATAACAAAGGCAGTATGTGTCTAGGGCACATATTGACATCAAGGCTAATTTGACAAAGCTAAGCAGGTGTGGATCTAGTTCCTGCCTGCAAGACCCCAGTTACCTTTCTGTAAGATAAGGAAGGGGGGTATAAATGCACTAAATAAATAATTGACTGAGGTAGAGGAGTCTTCATGTCTGACTCCTTGCTTTTAGGCTGCCCTGTCTGTCTGTCTCTGCTTTGTTTTTAGTTATTGCATTGCTACGTACTTTTAGTTAATTCATCTTTCAAGGACTAAATGCTTCCATAGTGGAAGGGGGGGATACAAATCCTCTGAAAGCAGGCTTCCCCAGGCTGGTGCCCTCTGATGTCTTGGACTGCCTTAAGTCCAAGGCTGTCTTAAATAAAACATGCAGTTGCCTTATCCTCTTCTGTCGACTTTTGATCCCTGGGAATCATACCTGCTGGAGGATCACTGGCAGGTCACTTGGCTGCATCCTGCATAGCCCCATCAGTAGGTGATGGAGTGCCTTCCATGTGGGGGTGCTCTGCATGCAAATCTTTCCAGTGTGAAGTGGCTGGAGAAAGAGTAATGAGATAGTTCCTCAAATGAGCTTTTTCAAGATTTCTATCTTAATGTTTCCCAATGAAGGTGTTTCTCTCTGCAGTTTGGCCTCTTCGGTATCATCCCTGCAACTGTTCCTCAAACAGGTGCTTTCACGGTTGCTAAGCTTATCAGGAGGAGCAAGGCTGGCCCAAGGCGTTGAAGGACAACCTGGTGCGGGACTGGAGGGTGAATCTTCGTTTCACTGCAACAAAAGGCAGTGTGAGACACCTGGCTGGTTGGGGCATGCAGAGCAGTGTAACAAGCCTGGCTTTGTCCTCTGGCTGCGAGGCTCGGCAGGATCAGCTCGGCAGCTCCTGCTGCTGCCAGCTGAGGCTGCCTCCTCAGTCTGCCTAAGCAGGCTCAGCAGTGCCAGCCCCGAGCGAAGGAAGAAGCCGTCAGCAGTGTGGCCAGTGCTCCCCAGAAGGCCACGAGTCCCCATTACTGGCCGTGGGGCAGGCAGCAGACATGGCAACTCAAGATGCCATAGGTGGTGTGTGCACCGATGTTTGTGCCTCCCAGTAAGCGTGACTTCAGGAAACGGGGGCAGCCAGCCGAGTATCCTGCCCTCTTCCTTGACGTGGGGAAACGGACGAGAGCCCTTTCTAAGGAGTCTGCCCCCCCGCTCCAGCCCCAAGCACGACCAGACAAACGAGCCTGCTGATGCAAGGAAGCCTGGCAGACCCACTGTGAGAGTTTTGGAAGTCTTTTGATCCGCTACTGGCGTTTTATTTTTTTCTAGTTATTCAAGTGAACGACTGAATGCCATTGCTCAGCCTTCCCACAAGCCGGTGCCCTCCAGATGAGTTGGATTGCAACTTCCAGCATCCCCGGCCAGTAGGTCCTGCTAGCTGGGGATGATGACGATGCAGTGATGCCACTTTTATAGCAAGCCCGGCTCAAGCCCGGACTTGTTTGGAACCGCCTCTTTAATCCGGGCCCGGGCAAGTAACTCCCCCGCGGCAGGGATTGCTGGGGCTCCTCGAAGGGAGAGCGGCTTGGCGCGCCACCTGCCCGGGCGGGGGAGGGATGGCCGGGCGGAGCTGCGACCAAGGCGGCCGTCCCAACCAGGACAGCAGGCGGCGAGCTGTGCGGGCTCCGCGAAACGCCTCCTTCCGCGCGGAGTCGCCTCGGCGCGATGGCCCCTCGCAGCCCAAAGGTGTGTCTTGCGGGAAATTCCCGGCCCTGAGGCCTCCGCGGCCAGGCAGCGAAGGGGCCGGCGCGCCCTCGACTCCTCCCATTGGGCCGAGGCGGGGGGGGGGGCGGGCGGAAGAAAAGGAGAATGCGCGTAGCGGCGCGCGGCTAGCTTTGCGCGGTGCGGCGCGGTGCGGCGCGGCGCTGCTCTCCCCAAAATCCCTTCCCGGACGTGCTGAGCAGGCTTCCCGGCCACCGGCAAACAGGTGGGTGCCTGACTTGCTTCTCTCGTTCAGACTCTTGCCTCCTGTATTTGCTTTGCGAGAACGATTTGTATGCCGCTTTCACCAGTGATTCCAACAGCGCTCTTTCGCTCGCTCTTTTGCACTTTGAAGGAAACAGCGCATTGGTTTAAACAGCCTTCCCTGACCAGAGGCCCTGCAGATATTTTGCATTTCAGTCCCCATTATCCGACACAGCCAGCGTAGCGAATGGTCAGGGATAGTGGGAACTGTAATCCAAGACAGCTGCAGGGCATCTCGTTGCCGAAAACTGGGATGGCATACCCATTCAGCACTGTTCTTGGAACTCTTTCTTATTTTCTTTACTACGTTGCCGTATCTGTGAGAATTGCATTTATTTATTTATTCATTCATTCTATTTATAACCTGTCATTTTTCCTTTCAAGAAATTCGAGGCTGCTTACATAATTGTCCCCCTCCACTCATTCTTCTCCTCACAACAACAACCCTTTGAGGTGGGTTGGGCTGAGAGTCTGGCTAGCCCAGTGAGGTCCATGGCTGAGTGGGGACTTGAACCAGATCGCCCGAGTCCCAACCCAGCCCTCTTGACTGCTGCACCACACCAACTCTCTGAATTGTAGGTTCAGAGTAGTTAGCGGTATGTGCTACTGACAAATGCTCCAAGGGGCATCACTTTAGGACAAATCTGGGCAGGCAGGAAGCAAAATTCCATTTAACAAAAGTGGGATCCTGCCCTGTAGTATTGTGCATAATCAGCACACATGTGCAGAACGGCCTGCTCTTGCACACTTGTGCATGCTGGGCATTCAGGAAGCATGTGCAGCAGGTGCCTACACCTGCAGGAAGCAAACCTGTAGCCCTAGCAATTTCCCATTATGGAAGGCTGTTGGGGTCTGTCAGATGGCAGATCCTTCCTCTTCCCACAGGCTGCAAATTTCCCACTGCCTGGCAAAAAGAGTTCCATTGGTGCCAACTGAAGAATTTTCCTAGACTGATTTTTCATGAGGAGGGGAAGTTCCAGGGGAATAGCAGTTGGAGATTAATCTTTCCTTCCCTGTGTGATCTCTCCTGCATCCACTCTACATAGTTTAGAAAAATCTCTTCCTGGAGTGCCAATGGATTTTCCCCCTAAGTTTACTTTCATGGAATGGGAGTAATTTTCCTCCAGGAAATACAGAGCCACTTACCACCTACTTTCCTTTCTGCATATTTCCCCACACTATTTAAATTCGTTGTAACTGAATAAAAATTGTTGAATTGGGATGACCTAGGACAGAGGAAATAAATGGAATAATTTATTTTATTTAAGGTGATCTAATTGGTGGATTTGCTTTGCCTTCAGTGGAATTTAGATGAATCCTACTAATTATTTCTAAATTTACACATCTGGATATAATTTAGCATATGCTATTTTTTTTGCAAATTAGAATCACAGGACATGGGCCCCATATTTTTAAGCATGTAGCAATGCCCCTTCTTGCAAAAGAGTAGAGCATAGCATGAACAAATTGGGGGACACCACTATTATCGAACAGACAGGGCACATTAAGAAAAACTGGAAGGCAACAGGAACAACAGTAAAATTATTTAATTATGATTTAATTCTTTTGTCCTAACTAGGCAAGAGGGATTCTACTGCCTTATTCTACACAAACACAAATGCAGACAACAGCACAGAAGTACTGAGAACATGCAAAGAGGGTACAGGCAAGGGCAGGGCACAGGAGGGCAGCCTCCACCCATGGGCTTGCTCAGGTGCTCCTTCGGTTGCTGGCTCAGTCCCAGACATTTCATCCACATGGTGGCATCACCTAGTCTTTGGGGAAAACACCACATGCACAGAGCCACTTGACTTCCAAGTCACAAGAAATCATAGTTCCCCTATATTCTTCCCTAGTTAGACCTCACCTGGAATACTGTATCCAAAGCTCTGGGCACCAAGATTTAAGAAAGATGCAGAAAAATTAGAAAGGCTCCAGAGGAAAGCAACAAAAATGATCCAGGGTTTGGAGACACTGCCCTTTGAGGACAGACTGAGAGAACTGGGCATGTTCAGCCTTGAGAAGAGAAGACTGAGGGGGACATGATATCCCTCTAAAAGTGCCTCACAGGCTGCCCAGAGAGGAAGGGCTCACTGATAGCAGAGCATAGGACATAGAATTATCACTTCAAGTTGCAACAACCCAGATTCAGGCTAGATATCGGAAAAAGTTTCCTCACTGTCAGAGCAATACAACAGTGGAACCAGTTGCCTAGCAAGGTTGTGGGCTCTCACACACTAGAGACATTCAACTGGACAGCCATCTGAGTGGGATGGTATAAACTGGTGAACTGCAAATGCAGGGGGTTGGGCCTGATGGCCTTCATGGCCCCTTCTGACTCTGCTATTCTATGAGTCTCTGATTGAGTCAGCAGCTGGAAGAGTGCGTCTCTAGCCACCAGCTCTTTCAGTCACTTTTTCCTGCCTCGCTTCTCCTCTCCAGTCTATAAATGTGTGGGGCAGGTAAGGGCAGGTGAAGCAGCTTCACTGAAGGTATGTCTCCTCCAGTCAGAGTGTGCATTTAGCAAACCTAGTTCTCAGCAGATATATGGGGTAGAAGATATCCTCTGAATGCACCCACCAGGGATCAAATGACATTTAATTTTGGTAGTCCCCCCCTCGGAGTGGGCTATCTCAAAGCAAGGAACAGCAGGGACATGGCTGAAAGAAGGTCTGCATTAGGAGGAGAAAGCTAAAGGCCTGGAATCGTAAGCAAACCATATTTTGAGTCATTCCACTCAGCTCTTTGCAGAAACTTTTTCTTCCTACTCACAAATGACTACTGATTGAATGAGTAACTGAGGGAAAGAGGGAGGGTATTTATTATAACTTAGTCCCTTCTCCCAAATGCAGCATGTATGTACATGTACTAGAATGAATAAAAACAAATACACTATTCAAAGAAGAAATGGACTGCTTGTGTCCCGAAAGCTTGAATTGGTCAAGAAGGTTTCTGTGGGTCAAGATTTCATTTGAGTCACTTCGTGGGGCAGCTCAGGACATTCCGCTGAAAGTACTGCAAAGATAGTAAAAGGGTTGCAGCTTGGGAGACAGGTCAGGCTGACCTGAAAGTAAACTGTTTTGATGCAGGACTTCTTGAAATCACTGAGGGGTGACTGCAGCATGCAAAGGTATCCAGCATTTAGGAAACTGTATGCTGAGCATGATCCAAGCACTCTTGTTTGCTTGTACTTTTTCCAAGAAAGCCACCTGGCATTTAAATTGGGCTCTGTTTTTGCAGAGGATAAAATTCAATTAATTGCAATTCACAAAGGCTACCTATGTTTAGTACATTTATAATCAAATATGCATATTTGAGACAGTTTGGTATAGTGCTTAAGAGCGCAGGTCTGGGACTCAGGCTATCTGGGTTTTAGTCCCCACTCAGCCATGGAGTCAGATGGGTTACTTTGGTCATATACTCTCAGCCCAACTCACTTCACAGGGTTGTTGTGCGGATAAGACTGAGAGCAGCAGCAGAACTGCTTTGAGTTCTTTCAAAAGAAAAAGGTGGGAGATAAATAAATAAATACATCTCCCTACATGTATATGTGCAAATAGTATTCATCTCTGCAGATGATCCTTTTTCAAATGTTTTTGGACTTCTTGCACTCTCCTTCTGGATTTGCTTAACCTTCTTGAGCCCATTGATTTACCAGTCATCTTTTCATTGGTGGACTGCTTTCAGTCTGCTGCAGTACATCTGGATCAAGACACAGAAATATTAATGATCCAGCAGGAGGAATGATTTGCCTCATTGGGCGAAGTTGGGGTGTTGGATCTTTTTCAGCCTCAGGATTGAATTCTACTTGACACAGGTTCTTGGGGCTATATTCCAGTGGCAGATGGGGATAAAGGCAAAATGAGTGGGGCCAGAGTGTCACCACATTACCACCACATTGTTCTTATGCAATCATACAGCGGGAAGGGACCTAGCAGGCCATCAGGTCCAACTGCCTGCTCAGTGACCCATCTAGATTTCAGCCAGGCCTGACCCTGCTTAGCTTCCTACATGAGGCTGCATCAGGCACTTCAGGCTGTCTGCAACTTTAGATAAGTTACTTGTGGAACTACACCAGGTGTGTATGTTTAGGATCAGGTTCTCTACTGCTTGTTCTAAATCTGTAAAAAGCCTAAGGCTGCAGTCCTGTACACACTTGCCTAGGATCTTAGTGCAGCTAATGCTGTGATCAGTACGGCTGATGTGTATTAGATTGTGCTGCTGGCCTGACACCGGGGTGTGATTCTTGTAGGCAGCCCAAGTTACTGATGCTTTCTGTTTCTGATTGCTACCTGACAAAAGCAAACTGGAGAAGGTTGATCCTGCCTCGAGATGATACTGGCACACCGTTGTTTCTAATATTAATGCGTGTGGAACAGTCCCAGCAAAAACATCTGAAATGAATCAAGAACTTAGGCCTACACTGCTTGAAAATGAAAGCAGAGGCCATAAAAGAAAAAGCACAGGACTTCCCCTTCTGCTCACCGCCCAGTTTGCTTTGCCAAGTAAGGGTAGCGAGACAGCAGGCAACGAGCTGGAACTGCAGAGAGAAGACTTTGCTGTTTCAAAGTGGCCCAGATACCTTTATTGTTGGAATTTGTTTTCCATGATATCTGGAGGGCACCAGGATAAGAAAGGCTCATAGGCCTTGATTCCCAAGCCTCTGACAGCTGGAGCATGTTTTCTTTCTGAATTCACAATTTCAGGCTCACAACTGTGCTTCTTCAGGAAGGAGGTGACTGGCAAGTTGAGAGCTTCAGCTATGGAGCATGTTAAAAGTCCAGTCAAGCAACATGTCAGTGGGTCCTCTCCTACCTTATAATACTTCATAACACTGCACACATCTCAGGGCAAAAATTACTTAATTTTCAAAAGGACTTGTGAGGAGCTCCAAAGGGATCTCCCCAAGCTGGGAGAATGGGCATTGTGATGGCAAATGCAGTTCATTGTAAGCAAAGGTAAAGCATGTTGGCTCAAAAATATTCCCAGATTCAAGTGTAGGTTGATGAGATCTGAGCTAGCAGTGGCAGGTCAAGAAAGGGATCTTGGGACTATGGTGGACAGCTTGATGAAAATGTCCCAGGGTGCAGCTGCTGTGAAAATGGCAAGCTGCATGCTTGGCATAATCAGGGAAGGAACTGAAAACAAAACTTCCAAGATCATATTCTGCTTATGCAAATCTTTGGTATGATTGCACTTAGAATACTGTGTAGAGTTCTGGTTGCTGCACCTGAAAAAGGACCTTATGGAGTTGGAAAAAATGAAGAAAAGGTCAACAAAGATGATCAAGGGGTTGGAGCAGCCCCCCTGTAAGGAACAGCTATAACACCTGGGATTATTTGGCTTAGAAAAAGAAGGGAAGACAAGACAGAGGTGTTTAAAATTATGCATAATGTGGAGAAAATGAAGAGGGAGATGTTTTTCTTCTCTCCCATGATATCTGAACCTAGGGTTCTCCCATGAAGCTGATTTGTGGCATACTCAGGACCAGTGCTTTTTTTGTAAAAAAAAAAAAACGGTGCCGGAACTCACGTCGCCGCCTCGCCGCCGGCAGTAAGCGCGCGACCACACACACCGATCCCAAGCGGAGCAGCGTCCCAAGCCGCTCCGCCCTCACTATCAGCAGATAGACGCAAAAGCAGCCGGCAGGCACTATGTTAGCGTTGTTTGCTGCTGATCTGCCACGATTCAAAATCACTTCTTAAAATCCATTGGAAAAAAAGGTGCCGGTGCGGTGCGTTCTGTGACAAAAAAAAGCCCTGCTCAGGACAGATAAACTCTTGAAGCATTTTCCCCCACACCACACAAAGTTAAACTGTTTGTTTCACTTCCACATGATGCAGCGATGGTTGCCAATTTGGATGACTTTAAAAGGGAATTGGATAAATTCATGGAGGAGAATGATTACTAGTCAATGAACATTAACCTTGCTGGCTGCGTGCTGTCTCCATTATCAGAGGTGGCATGCCTGCTGCCTACACCAGTTACTAAGGAGCTTGGGCAGGTGGGACTCTCGCACCCCTTCTGCTTGAGGGATCCTGTGGGCAACTGGTTCCCCACCGTGTGAATGGAGAGTTGGACTAAACAGACCATTGGGCTGATCCAGCATGGAGTTTCTTATATTCTTAAGACTGGTATTCTGGTCCTTAGTTGGCTGCCCTTGGTGTACCACACGTGTGATCTTTACTCCAAGGAAGTTGTCTATGTGGTGTGAGCTTTGCCAAAGACTCACCGCTGTTCCTAAAAAGTAGCATGTGTGTTTGAATCAGCTGGAACCACTGAGTGTTCATTGCCTGATGTCCCTTCTAGTCAAACATCTCTCAGTCAAAAGTACTCTCATTTTCTGCAGAACATATGAAAGGATTGAGGGTTGCTAAATGGATTGAGCAGCAAAGCGATGGATAGATAATTAAATAACTCTATTTGTTTTCTTTTTAAAAAATCTTAGATGATCATGATTGAGCAAGTCTGGGGTCTTTGGTTCATCTCTGTTGCTGGAGCTGTGAGTTTTTCTGCACAACAGATCAATCCATCATGTGATGCTGCTCGTTTTTGCAACTATTCTTCAAGGGCTTTACATGCAATTCCATCTGGTCTCACAGGTTATGTAATGGGGCTGGATCTGGCCTCCAACAGAATCGAACAAGTCCGAGAAGTGGATCTGAAATTTGCAGTCAATCTCAGGACTCTTTTGCTCCAGTCTAATCTAATTTGGAAAATTGATGAGAATGCCTTTTACTTCCTTAAAAAGCTGGAACATTTAGATTTGTCTCAAAACAATCTGACTCGCTTGTCTCCTTCTTGGTTCAGACACCTTTCTTCTTTGCAAAAGTTAAACATAAAAGGTAACTACTACTTTGAACTTGGGGAAACTCCATTGTTTTCCAACCTACAAAATCTGAGTTATCTGTACTTGGGAAATGATATTAACTTCTATGCTTTACGGAGACAAGACCTGCAAGGAATTTCAGTTCTTGAAGAACTGGAGATTAAAGGACAAAAACTTCAACTATATGAACCAAGGACACTAGAATCGATGAAGCTGATAAATCACATTTTTATGAATTTTTTTTCTGCTAACATTTCATCTCAAATTATAACTGACATTCACACATCTGTTGTGTGTCTTGAACTGAGAGATATAGTATGGATGAACAGTCCACCCTTCCCGTTCTTTCATATTGACGTCCCTATAGCTGCAAGGAAAATTGTGCTCCAAAATGTTCAAGTTTCAGATGACTCTTTTGTGCAGTTTATACCCATTCTTGACCTGATGTATCAATTGCATGAATTTGAGATAACAGATTGCAAATTACATGGTACTGGGGTTTTTCATGGTATTGAAAAGGTTGCAACTACCATACAAGTAATAACAATAAGAAATTTAACAATAGACATATTTTATGCATTTTCAGATCTTTTTACTGTGATTCCTATTGTAAAGAATATTACCAGAGTTACAGTTGAAAATTCAAAAGTTTACTTGGTGACCTGTGAACTTGCACGAGCATTCCATTCACTACTGTATCTTGATCTCAGTATGAATTTGCTTCTAGAACCATATTTGAACTTTTCACTGTGTCAGGGTGGCTGGCCGAAACTGCAAACTTTAAATGTTAGCCAGAATTCTTTGAAACGGATTGACTTAGTAGCAGAAAGTTCATCTCGCATGGTAGATCTTTTTAGCTTGGATATAAGTCAAAACAGCTTTGAGAGAATGCCAGATTCATGTGTATGGCCGAAAAATTTGAAATATCTTAACATCTCTGGCTCTAAAGTAAGCAAGCTCACAAAGTGCATCCCTCAAAGTCTTGAAGTGCTGGATGTTAGTAATAACAACATCCAAGAGTTTATATTGATCATGCCCAATCTGCAAGAACTTTATATCAGAAACAATAAATTGAAAGTCTTACCCGATGCTGTCTTCATCCCTAGTGCTAGAATACTGAATATTAGAGGAAACAAAGTATTTTTATTTTCTGAGGAGCAGCTTCAAAAATTTGCCCGACTGGAGAGACTGGATGCACGTTACAACACTTTCCTATGCTCCTGTGCTTTCTTGGCCTTCATAAACTCTTATCCAGGAATATCTCGCATCTGTGTTGGTTGGCCAGAAAACTACATCTGTGACTCTCCCGATCTTGTGAGGGGGAAGCAAGTAGGAGTTGCCACGCTACCTGTGACTGAGTGTCACTTGACTTTGATTCTGTCCTTCAGTTGTATTCTGATATTCCTGAGCGTCCTGGTAGGGGCAACTCTCTGCTACAAGTTTCATGTCCTCTGGTATATACAGATGATCTGGGCCTGGCTTCAGGCAAAACGCAAGCCCCAAAGAGACCACAGTAAAGAAATCTGCTATGATGCCTTTGTTTCCTACAGTGAAGAGGATTCTGCGTGGGTAGAAGATGTGATGGTGCAGGAGCTAGAACAAGCGAACCCCCCATTTAAACTCTGCCTTCATAAGAGAGATTTTCAGCCTGGCAAATGGATTGTGGACAACATTATTGACTCCATAGAGAAAAGTAATAAAACTCTGTTTGTGCTGTCAAAGAGTTTTGTAAAGAGCGAGTGGTGCAAGTATGAACTTGATTTCTCTCACTTCCGGTTTTTTGATGAGAATAACGATGCAGCAATTTTGATTCTTCTGGAGCCCATTCCAGAGAAAACCATTCCCAAAAGGTTTTGCAAACTGAGGAAACTAATGAATACGAAAACCTACCTTGAATGGCCAATGGATGAAGAACAGCAGCTCATATTTTGGTTTAATCTCAAAACTGCAATAAAATCCTAGGAGAACAGCTGGAACACTGGAGCATTTCTGATGAAGCTTGTTTCAGTGCCTGTGGGTTCCCCTCTCATGTGGTAAACAGTGTATGGTAAGAGTAAGCTGGTGTCAGTGAAGGCCTGGACTGATGCTTAGGGTCTCTCTGCTTGCTGAAACATGGTCAGAAGATGTTCTCTCAGCATGTACTTTGGTTGCTTTCAGTCAAGGTGCAAAGCATGTCCCTGGCTGAGACAAACAGAAAGAGTAGCTCTGTCAGATGAGTCTTCCTCTTCCTCCTCCTTCTTTCCATACTGTTGAACATATCAGGACTTCCATGTGGTCCACCAAAACAAAAACTATATCAAACAAAAGCCCAGTATAAAACAGTATTGAGCAGTGGCTCCCTTAAAAACATTCAAGGGTTTTTATTACATCATAATAAAAACAGAGCAGGATCATAGCTAATTACAAGTCAGGGAAAGCCCCAGTGGTCCAAAACATTTCCAAGCAGCCTTTGAAGCTTGCCACCATTTCCATATTTAAAACCACATGTGGGTGCATATTGCAGAGGGTGGTCACTGCTACGTTCCCACAGCATATGTGCCATTGTGTGGTGGCACCTGTTACTCATGGAACCACAAACAAGCCTTTCTTAGAAGTTCTAAGGGGCCAATTTGGTGCATATCTGGAAGGTGGCCAGCTAGATAGCCTGGGCCAGAGTGCTTTGCTGAACATGAACAACAAACCCTTGAAAGTGGCTTGGTAACTAACAGGCAGTCAGTTTTAAAACAGGTGTACTATGTGTCTTGCTAGGAGCAAGATCAAATGCAGTCTGTTGAAATTGGGTGCACTCGTCCCCTGGAGAAAAGTCACCCCGTGCTATCAGGATGGGGACTCCCCTGCACCACTCTGCTGTGATTTGCAGGGCCAGCTCAGGCAGGTGCTGGCTGACACCCTTCCTGCTCTGGCTGCAGCTTGCTCAGGATGCGTGTAGCGTGGGAGGAGCCACTGGACTCCTGCCCTGATTGCAGCCCATTTGGAGCACAACCTGGATGGGAAGGAGGCACTGGCCTGCCATTTGCAGGCGCCAAAGCGGGAAGGCTACGTGGGTGCTGCAAAGCCAGTGATGCCATGCAAGGGGCAGCAGGTCTCTGTGATGATCTTCAGTGCACCAGGCTCAGTTTGGGACACAATCCAGCTGCTGGACCAAGCAAATGTACCCCTCATCGTCTATGGTTAAACAGTACTTTGCTTTAATTCACTGTGATGCCTTTGACAATGTGTAAGATGTAATCACTGATTGCTCCATTGAAGCCATGTAGAGACTTAACAGAAGCAGCTCTCAGTCTCTTCAGTATTTGAGCATATGCAGAGTATATATTGGAAGGCTAGGAAGCCATTGCATTGGAGTAAATTCTGTTTCCAATCGCTGTATAATAGTTACTCGTTGACTAATGAAGTCAAATGTTCTTGTGCATATGAATTATTTACCAGCAACATTATGTATTTCAAGTTTTAATAAAACATACTTTTCAAATATGTTGTCCCTGATTGCCTAGCAGTCATTCAGCTGAACTGGCATTGACAAATGCTGATTTACAACCCAGTTAAGCTAAAGTACCTGCATTTCTGTCATATAAAGCAAACCAAGCCAAATCTATACAGCTAACTGAACTCCACAAAATAAAGGGCTTGAAGAATTGGCCTCAACATGTGACAGAGGTCAGCTAGTTAGTGTTCTCCAGAACTGGATGCTGCAGAAGGAAAACCATTCCCCACTTTCCAGAAGGTCTATCAGGAAAAAGAGGGTGAACACAATGTAACTGTAGGTAATTTCTCTCTGGTGTTTGGGCAAGGGTGCTGAACTGGAGGACTGTGGTTGCGTCTGGCCTTGTCCAAAGTCTGACTTTCCCAGGCGAACATGCCTGTTTTCCCTGGCTCCAGCCTTTTCCCAAACTACTGATAATTTGTTGGTTTTCTGGCTTTTGTACATCCCTCCCCCACCCACCAAAAAAAAAAAAAAAAAAAAAAAAAAAAAAGGCACGAAAAGCTTTCAGCTAGAATATTCTGTATTTTTGGAGTTGAAACCCAAAACCTCTAGAAAACACCAGACTGGGGAAAGGTGATCCTGCCAGAACTTCTGTTTTCATTTATTTCAAGAAGTGACATGTTAAACACATCTTTAACACTCCTATGAAGCAGTGTAAATATGCTGAATCTTTGCTGGTTTGAGCACGATGCTTACAACAGAAGCTCTGAGGGGAAATATGGATGTTGATCCTATTCACAGCTATATGTGACTATATATGGGTAGATGTGAAGGATAAAGTGTATACTTAGTGAAAAAAAAAAAAAAATTCTTGTCCCCAGCCACGGAAAAAGGGGTTTGCTCAGGCCTGTTCTGTGTTTAGTTTTCATGATAATCATTTCAAAACAGAATTGTCATTCCTAAGTGTCAGTGTCTATGACATGATAATGTCATTCATCTTCATTTTGTAGAGCGTCATGTCTAAATTATTGCAACTCTTCCCTCCCTCCTTCTCTCCCTTTTTAAAAAAGGCTGGGGAGAGACTTTTGCCCACTTTTTCTGATAATACTCCAATCATCAGGTGGTATATGTTCATGAGAAAGTGCTCATTTGCAGGAGGAGCAACTTCTGTAAATAAAAAACATGTTTGAATCTACTGAAGCAGTTTGAATTTACTGACTGACCTGAGTATCTTGTCTTATTTTGCATGAGTAATAAGCATTATGCACCTGTGTAAAAACAATTTTAAAACTGACTGGGTATTGCACCTACTGCAAGACACCCACAATACCAGTCAATCCTTAAAGTTGTCCCTGTATAGGCAGTGATAATAGCGATGACAATTATGGATGGGTTGACATGAGTGTAAATGAGAGAATGATTGTGTCTGGTATGGAAATGAGGTAAAATCGTACCTTTTTGTTTTTGGCACCTGGGGCCAAAACAGTTGTTGGCACAGCTCCATGGAAAAGAATCAAGTGGGCTTTCCATTTGATTTTAAAGAGCCACTGGGGTCCCAAGATTGGCCTTAGTGAAATGGCCATTAAAACATAAACTGAGATTAACTGTCTAAGGAACTTGGCTTAAAAACACAAGTCAAACCCTGTGATGTGGTTTTACGGCCCTTGTTTTGACTAGTGATGTCAAAAGTAGGTTTGTATAACTCCCAGATTATTTTTCTTGCTTGTGGTTTTTAGGCTGCTTATCACATAAGGTTTATTCCAGGTCAAGGTGCCACCTACTGCAGGGTCATGTTTCCAAGTATCCAGCCAAAGCTGACTGGGCTCGGAAGCAAGGCATGAGGCAAGCTGTCCTTTCCCATTGTCTGGGCAATAGCCTGTCACCCAGCAGCTGGAATCCAGAGGAGGGCTGGGTCTGGACCTGGCTGGGCATGAGGAGAGTTGCAATGTAACAATCTCTCCCTGCCTCCCTCTCTCTGTATATAACTGGTTGGAAGAAATTTGGGATATAATCGCAGAAATACGGCAAAGAGGACACATTGGAATGAGGGTCAAGTGAGGCATTAGTAGGCTGGGCATTACAACTCTGATAAAAGCTTCAAGTGTAAATGCTCCCCTGGCCCCCTAAGCACTTAATCATGCATATGATGCAATGCACAGTTCCATGAAAACTTAATCAATGTAATCCATGCCATAATCCATGTTAGCCTTTAAGGTGACATAAATCTCTTCACTCTTCTTGCTGCAGCAGAGTATCATGGCTACTTCTCTGGAAAGTGAGCCTGGCAGTGCAATCCTAGGGCTGCTAGGCCCCTTTATGAAGTGGGAAAAGCTTCCTGGTCGCATAGCTGGGTCTCCAGGCTCACAGCAGCCCCCCACAGCTGATGCAGAAAGCATCCTGGCAACTACATCCGCAAGGCTGCAAGAATGACCTCGGGGAGGGGGTTTGGGGGTGCTCCAGGGGACTAGGAGGGGAAGAGACAGGTTATATCAGTGTGACAGTGCAGGGATGCTAAACCTGTGCTTGTGCGCTGGCTGCATGCAACACCTCTCTTGTCGCACGGCATGAATACCAAAGTGGAACTAGTCATGTGCAGCTATGAATCATGCACAGCTATGAATCACATGGAAGCCTTGCAGAAAGCAAGATGTTGTAAAGTAGCTCTCTGTGCATTTGCTGTAGGAAATTGTGCAGCACTTCCTTTTACTGGGGTAGAAAGCATAAAGACACCAAGCAGGAACTCACACTTGGTCACCAGCTTTTTTTGGTAAACCCACAGCTGTCACTGTCGCAAAACCAGCAGACACAGCAAAGTGCTATTCCAAGCACAGGACCATCCTCTGCCTGGTCCCGACCCCTGCCCTTGACATTGCATTCCAGTGACACCTCCACCTCTTTACTGTGCTGGAGCACCCAGAAGCATGCATAAATCTTACTACAAACAGGGTTTTTCATGCCCTCCAATATCCACTGGTGCAATTGAAGTATACTGGGAACATTCCTCTTTTCCTGACAAGAAGTAAGTGTCCACATTGCCTCCTCTGTGCCCTTTACCCTCTACTTATTACTTGCAGGCAATGGGGGTGAATTCCTGACCCTTTGCACTGATTTAGAATCCACAGGGTGCTCTCTGGGTTCATGCAGGGCATCCAGCCAGAGGGCTGAAATGCTGCAATCCATTTCAGAGAAACTCTCAGGAGCCAGAATTCCACTCATGTGTGAGACTGAAGGCCGAAGAACCTTAAATATCAAGCTCCAGCCTATTTTTAGGTTTTAGGTTTAGATTAAGATTCCAGTCTGTTTTAGCTGGAATCTCTTACTGCAGGTAATGAAGCCTTAGGAGATGCATGCCAACTTTTTTTAGAATAGGGGAAATGTGCAAAAGCTGGTGTCGGGAATCTCTGCCATAATATGGCCACAGAAAGCCTGAAACAAGAACAGTTTTGGACTATTAAGATGGGCATCTGATCTGGAAACCATGCCGCAAGTCTTGTTCCTCAGGCACACCAGATTTAGATATGCTAATAATATCTGCCCTGAAACCTTTTGTCTCCCTTAATCCATTCAGCCCTCCTTTGCCTGTGGCACAGTGCCGCCCTCTTCCAAGCTGCCTCCTTAACTAATAGGTTAACCAAGCACCCTGTACAGGAACCATCTTGGGAGTTCCTTTCAGGGATGCCTACATGCTGCACGTATGTCCTGTATGTCTGGAGAAACCGTAATGCTCTTTGGACTGCACACCCCCAGTGTCGCTGTGTTCACTGTCTCTTGACACTGGGACACCGCCACATGATCAGTATTAAGGAGAGAGTTGGCCGGTGGGGCATGGGTTTCTGGGAATCCCAGCCTGAGAGTCCAGGCAGGCCGCATTTGTCTTGTAGACCTGAAGATCAAGATCTTTGGAGCAAGTTATACCAGGAACATCTCTGGGTCCTAAAGTCTGCTATCAACCATTCAAGATGTCTCTCAGCTGCTGCTGTGTGTAAGATGCAAGTGGCATGCTGCCTGGGGCCAGGCTGCAGGTGGGCTGGAGAGAGCACCTTGTAAAGTACACGTCACGCACATTGGATATCCCTGGACTGGATGGTGATGAGACTCTGCAGCGTCATGCAGCTCCCCCGGTGGCCTGCTAGGAAAGGCAACTGGGTTTACTTTGCAGATACTTGCAGCATCAGCACTGGACCTATAGCTGCTTGCAGAGTTAGTGACATGCAGACCAGCTTGGAGCAGCCCTGGTCCTGCTCAGCTTTCCTACAACAGCATGAGTCTCTGTGGTGGCTGGTTTGTGCTTCTGCCTTGGCTGCCAGTCTTACTCTGCCCTTGTCTGTTCTGGACTCTGCTTTTGCTTCTGGGTCTAGCATGTCTTGTCAGTGTCTGATCTTTGCCTGGGTAAGCCTCAATTCTTCTTCCATGCGGGATGTTCCATCTCAGAGATGATAGCTACACTGGTTAGGGCTGATGGGATTGCAACCCAACAATGGCCAGAGCCCCACATATTCTCCACCCTGATGCAAATGCATGTTGAGAGAATCACAGAATTGAAATTGACCTCAAGAGACTACATGACCTTTGAGTTTCCTTCCAGCATTGGCTCGATGAGCATACATTGACATGAGTGCATGATGTGGTTGCATGGTTAGAGTGTTGGACTGGGATTCAAAAGAGCTGAGCTCTAGCGACTTTGGGCCAGTCACAGACTCACAATCCAACCTACCTCTCTTGTGATCCTGTAGAGAGAAGAACCTTATAAGCCACCTTGAGTTCTTTGCAACCGGAAGGAAGGCGATGCAATGAAATGACTACTACTACTAACACAATGCCTGAGAAACAAAGTAACACCGCCACAGACTCAAGGGTTCACCAGTTACAGCTGTGTTGTAAGGTGCTAATACTGAAACAACGTGCAACTGAAACCTGCAATCTAAGCTGGAAAATACATATGTGTCAACATTTAAGATGTCACACTTATGAAATTTAAGTAGCACCCACAGGACCACAATAAGCAGGGAGGGAAGGTTTAACCAATGGAAGCTTCCACCCCAGGGTGAATAACAGCTTCTGAAGGGGCGACTTTCACCAGGGCTACAATACAGAGAGCTGCCTATTTGAGGCTCTTCCTGTCCCCCTACCCCGTAAGTTCTATGAGAGTAAAAAAAAGCACACTGAATATCTAATCTAGTCTGATCCTGATGCTCATGAGAGTTTAACCAGTTTTTTTTTTCTTGAAAAGGAGAAACAGGGATGAAGCAGAGATAATTATTTATGAATGGATGTATGCAAAACTTTGAAACAATGGGAGTATTTGGGTATTGATCTTCTAAAATCCCCATCTCAGAGCCATTTTTAGCTGCAGTAGAATCCAGTAGAGATTGTACTAATACTTCTTGGGGCCACTCGTAATTACAATGACAAGCCTTGGCAGTTAAATGAGGATTTAATTGATGGACATGCATTTACAAAACTGAGAGATCAAGTCTTAACCATTGTTTTGACTGTCAGACCCAACTTTCGCCATTGAGACAGGCATGGCAAGATACCATCTCACTGCTCAATGACAGTTTTATGGAGGACAGGTTTTGTTCGGGTTCATTTTGTTGTATAGACAGGCACAGATCAGAATTACCAAAATACTTCTGCCATTATTTGATAGCATGATTGCCATAATCCCTTTGTCTTGCTTATCTCGGATTGTCACATTGAGCTTTTCCCATCTGAAAGTTTTTCAGCTCCTAGGCTGCCCCCTGTTGGAAAATTTATAGGGTTCATTCTAATAGAAAAGCACCAATGTTGTGTGGCACCTTAAAAACAACTAATGTCTTGTTGTTTTAGTCCATGAAAACTGATAAGATAATGCATCTGTTCATTTTTAAGTTGACAAAATAATTTCTTGATATTTTCTCTGCAACAGATTCATGCTGCTGCTCCCTGGAGATTCTAATTG